TTAAAGGAAGATGGAAATGATTTACGTAACAGTCGACGCGCTTCCTCATCGACACCTTACCGTGCACCCTTCAGCCGATATCCGCAGAATGCATCGAACATCCGTGACAATTCAAATAGGTCCTGCGGAAGAAGAACAAGAAAGCGCTGTTCGGGACGTTCAGTGTTACGGTGAATTTAAATTGTGCTTAATAAAACTTTTTGCTTTGCGTGGTTGTTGAAAACTATTTCAAAGCTGTTTCGAAAACTTATGACGACTCGCGTACGAAGTGACGTCTCAGCGTTACTCTTTGAACAAAGAACAAGTTTTGTGTGTAACTGGATCTTTGATGGTAGTAGCGGCATTCTTATAGTACGCAACCCTCTTATATGCAAATTATGGGGCTAGACAGTATATCTTCTCCATGAGGTTGTTAAACTGACTACAACTTAGACATATGTAGGACATTCAATAGATTTCATGGAACGTTGTTTTGGCCTTGCTGATAATACGTTTCCATGTCCAGGGTCAGGATATATTTCTGACCTTCGTAGCAATCCGGCCAGTGTTGATTCCACATTCTTCGTGAGCAGACGGAAACACTGACTCTCAGACGTTGCTTTGCGATATCACTGCTCAGTATTCCTTTGGAATTCTTTTGGAGAAGAAACTTTTGGAGACTTTTGTAACATTACTCAACTTTCGCCAATCAGGTCAGCTCGATGAGCTGGATTGTACAGTCAGGCGTTTAATACCATTTATATTGGTGCACATGAAGCTTTTGACCCTAGTTCAGCCTTCGTCGTATGCCACGTGGCTTTTCTAGGAGAATGAGCAAGGTAATCTTTCGCGCAACATTCGAATGATATGTCGAAACCATCGCCCAATCTGTAAATACCATTTTGGCAGGTGGGGAGGGGCAGATTATGCAAGAGAAAAATCCGCATGGCAATGATGATTGGAGAATCAAAATTTCCCCTTGCTAGCGTCTCATGTGTCGGAATGGCTGAGGGAAGGCTACCGATTATGCAAAGACCATTAACATGTATTTTATCAAAATTTATTAAACAGGGTAACGGCTCTGGATATGGTGTTGCTTCATCGAACAATCGAAAGCGTGCAAAGCTATAAACGCCCGACAGTTTTGGAGCCAAGCAACACTGTGATGTGAAGCGTGCGGTGTTTGGGGGAATTCGCGCTTTTCAGTTAATTGATTGGTCAGTTGTGTACGACCTTCAAACTCAAGTTCGAGTTCGAACAACTCGCCAAAGAGTCCGAGTTCGACTTTCGAGTCAAGGCGTTCTCGGCAGCGGCCGGCAGCGGCCGGTCGGCGTGTAGTGTACATGTCGGAAATTTGTTATTCGCGCCGACTGTGCAGACGATGAGAGTTCTGAATTCCGGCGCCGACGGCGAAACCAGAACGTTTGTTCAGTTCCGGATACACAGCGGTCGTAGCAGACAAGTCGGCGCCCTTTGATAAACTGTCATCAAGTTTGTGAGAAAAACGATAAAACTTTTAAATTACTTTTTGGCAAGACAATACTGCGTCTTAAATCATGTCCGACGGTCCAGAAATGCAGCTACTGTCAACGCTGTCAGACGGTGGTGATAGACTCACCAACGGCACTGTAGCGCCTGGCGTTCGTGCAAGGCAAGTTTTCAGGCGCATCGACTCGGTACAGAAAAGTCTGCTTCGTTGTGGTTTGCGTGGAAAAACTTCCTGACCTCGCAGTCAGTTGCTACCGGAACTGTTGGATTGAGAACGCGCCACGTGGCGTTCCTCGAAGCAACGCATCCGCTGGAGGTGGCACCCGTGTTTACACTGCACGGACGGCTTTCCCGTAAACTGCCGCCTAATGACCGTTGTATTTTACCGCTGATAGACGCCGCCAACGCGGCAGATCTCGGTGATCTCGGTCATCTCGGTGACAACACTGCTTTCAACATTGCCTATCCCGATAGCCTATGCTGAACTCGCCACCGCTAATAGCGGCCGTTCATTTAATTCGAGCATCGCCATCTGGCTGACAATGTTACGGCTGCTTGTCTACCGTCGACCGACAAAAATCAAATCGAGTCCTCAGTCAAAATTTATGAGCATATACAGTGAGTCTCGGTGTAAATAATGTCTCGGTGTAATGTACAGTACAGTGAGTCTGGTGAGTCTAAGTTACTTTAGCCAACGGCGCCTTGCCGGAGCTAACGGCGAACAGCGCATTTTCATGCATACCGTACAACGTACGCTCTAACAACGAACTTGCTTTAGAGCATAAGATATGACGGCGTCTAATCATCCTTTTGCACTACAGGCTTCGCTAAATGATATGCACAGCTTAACGTATAAGTTGTTGCTTGATAAGATCTTCACTTCGAACCGGTGTCACATGCAGAACGTCTCTGATTTGCGATGTCTGTTGTAATTGCAGCTTTTCAACGTTCGTTGCGTTGCAGAAGGAAATATTCGTCTCCGGAAGCAAGCTATGTCCAGTTTATTCCTTCACGTTGGATACGGAGTACTCGGTCGACGACGTTTGCCCCGTATCGGCTCACATACCAGAGCACATAGGCTGGAGCATATGATTTATCATTGTCATGATCAGCCTTTGTCGACTTACTGCTGGGAGAAGGTCTGGCCAAAACTTTGCCATTAACTTCCATTATCTGAGATTTTCATCCATCCAACAACGGTTCCTCACGGCTTGGTTGGAGGGCTTGGTTCGTCGACGAGGTGGAACATCCTGAGCGTGCTACAAGGTTCAATACTATCGCCCTGCTCTTGAGGCTTTACGTGAGCACGATGAGTAAAGCCACTAATGTCTCCTGCACCAAGTTGACGACATTCTTTATTTTCTACATCGGTAAGGAATGTACCCACAGCCTGCGAAACGAGGTGATAGGCACTGAGTTATGGATCAGGAACAATAACTTAAAAATTGACTATAGGTAAGACACCCGACTAACATTCGCATAAAAATATCAGATCATCTAACCTACTCTCCTTTATCGAATATCGTATCGACTTCGAGCGAGAGTTAATCCCTGCCTGCGACACCACAAAATACCTGGGGATATTCTTACCAACTAGGCGGAACTACACCTGTCTGACCACATTAACTCCACGTTTGTAAAGGTTCATAGGGCATCTTACTATCTACTGAGACTAATTCGACTGTCTGTACCAACTGGAGCAGTGTGCCTCTTCGATTTTTGATGCATCATGCTGCCAATTACCCATTTCAGCCCAGGATTAGAAGAATCCTTTCTGAGGTAGTTGCTGGCGGCACTGCTAGAGTAACAGTTGCAACAACCTATCGCCTGGATCACGGGGTGCTGACCGATGATAGTTACCGTTTTCACCCGAAACTCCAGCGAGCGTTGCCCCTGCATCACGCAACCCTAGGCCAAATATATATATATTTGTGTATAGCTTTTAAATTTCTCTCCTGAGTTACTCGGGTGATCTTGAGAGGATCAGAATGCGATCCGCAAATTGCAAGTAGCTTGAGTAATGCTCATTTCCGTCCAGTCCTCTATCTTCCCATCGGAGTGTCTTGAGCACCTCTTCTGGGCTGTTGTAAACAGGCAGTTTATGATCAATGACTCATTCATAATCAGGTTCTAAAGAGCCATTTAAGCAGGCTACGACTCCGTAATATTTGAGCACCTTCATGTGAAATCTGTTCTTGCAGAAGCCATTCGTTTTTGCACTTACTCTGGAGTACGAACAACGTTTGACGTTTATGTAGCAACATATGACGTGGACCAGTTCTTGAAACACCGTTCGTAATGAACGCGACATGGTTCCAACAAAAAAATGGTGCTGAGTGGATTTGGCATTGCATGTGCTCAAATATCATGGAACCTCGGCCCTGTTTAAATAGTCCCACTAATCAACTGGCAGCAAAGAGCGGCACAATCAGTCAAGAAATTGGTCTTGATTGAGTTATTCATATTTGACATATCCACACGTGCGAACAACTTATGAGATTTATGAATCGAAAATGTTATATCATATTTAAGCGGTTTACGCTACACCAGTTGGTCTGACAGAGTCAGTCTCTATTTCTTAATATACACATCTACTGTGGTCACTTGTACCCAGAAAAAAAGAGTCATTCTTTAAGCGGTCCTGCAATTTAACCCTCATCATGCGTCTA